CGGGATGCGGGCGGATACGGCGCGGCCCGGCAGGCGCCGCCGATCAGCCCCCAGCGGCCGCCGCCATGTTGGCCCCGGTCATGTGACCCGCTGCCGAGAGGGTGAAAGTTCACCAGGAAACCGGCGGGGAGAGGCGCGAGAGGAGGAAGTTCCCATGGCAACCGACAGGCGGCAGCAGGGCCCAGCGAGCCCTGGCCAATCAGGACCCAGGGGCGGCTGGAACCCAGAGGCGTCTGGCCAATCAGAAATCAGGGGTAACGGGGACCCGAGTTCCTGGCCAATCAGAAATTAGGAGCCAGTGGAACCCAAGGGCACACAGCCAATCAGAGCCCAGGGACAACTGGAACACAGGGGCAGATGGCCAATCAGAGTCCCGGAGCAACTTCAAGCAGGTTTCCTTGCCCAATAGGGATTGAGCACCCTTTAGGCCCAACAGCACTGGCCAATCAGAGCCCAGAGCCTAACTGTAACCTAAAGGTGCTGGCCAATCAGGCACCAGGGTCAACCTCTCTCCAACTTTCCTTGCCCAATTAGCGACCGGGGTCCCTGTGGGCCCAAGGGCACCTGTCCAATCAGGGCCCAAGGGGTACCTGGACCTCAAGGCACGTGGCCGATGGGGGCCCGTGGTCTTTCCACAGTCCCGCCCAGCCCCAGCCCCGCAGGGAGTGCTGCGTCCTGGGCACTGCCCGGCCGCGGGAGGCAAGGCCCCGGGGAGAGGAGCCCCGGCCTTCCCGCCTGTCCCACGGGCCGAGCACAGCCCGAATGCCAGTGCTGGCGGTGTCTGCAGGAGCTGAGCTGGGCATCCCGGCCCGCCCCGCCCCAGTGGCACCGACCTCAGTTTTGGGGCTCTGAAATCTTCCTCACCTTTGCGAGGAGAAGTGGCCCATGCCTTGGGCATAGGGCAGCTAGGCTACAGGTGGTGCACTGCCCGCTCCCCTCTGCTTTCCAGCCTCTTCCCCCTCTTTTCCTTCCTGCATTTCAAGCAAACCTGGGCAATCAAATCTAGCTCATGGATTTCTTTCCCATGGCTGCCCCACAGCTGTGGTGGGGGATGGCCCCAGTGGACCAGCCTGGGGGTAGGACAGAGCCAGGGGCTAGAAATCGGGCAGCACAGGCTCCTGCACACACAAATCCCATTTGTTCCGCCCTCTGCACGCTCCCTGGGCTTTGCTTCTTGGAATCAGACCTATGTTTTGGGTCTCTGCCCTGGCACCTGACAATCTGCTGCTCCTTCTTCAGAGGGAAAACAAAGAAAACCCTGATGTTGTTTGCTCTATCAGAAGATGATGGGCAGTTAGCAAGTTCAGGTGCTGGCTGGTAAGCTTTGTGCAGTGCTGACCTGCATCGTACATCCCATCTCTGTCTGCAAGCTGAAGTGCAGCTGTATTTTCATACATATGCTTACAAAACCAAAGCTGCTGATTGTTGGTTTTACCCTTCTAATTAATTAAGATGTCTTTCAGGGGGCATGCTCATTGCTGAGCTCAGGTAGAAGGAGGTGAGCCTTTTCTGGACAAGGATTTCAGTTATACTTATTCCACATTTTATTCAGTCACAAATATGCTGTGGGCTCAGCTGACCCATGCAAAGTAGTCTCCCTCCAACCCTGAAATGTTATCTTTGCAGTGCAGTGAATGACTTATAATTTGCTGTTGATTTTTCCACTGGGGATTCAGTGTTGTATCTACATCTAACTAAAATTACTTTATTTTTACTCAGAGTGCAGGAAAATCCCTGGCTGACAGAACATACTGTATCTAAGAGGAGCATCCACCACTGACCAAATCACAAGGTCCTGTGCTATGCCAGCTGTCACCACCTCAGTCCAATCAGACATGAATGCTGATTGTGTGAACATGAACATGGTGTCAAGCTCCAGCAGCCAGGCTAAGCACAGGGGAGGTGGGGGGATCCCCCCTCCACACTTCTCAGAGCCACCCCACCACCTCTGCTGCAGCTCTCTCTCAGTGTGTGGAGCAATGCAAACAGTTCAAGAGCTGGGCAAGCCTGTATTCCTGTAGCACTCCTATTCATAAATCTCCTTCTTCTCTAAATATCCCCATGGTAAATAAGCATGAAGACTAAGAAAACTGAGCCACAGGAATTCTCAAAACCTATATGCCAATAACTCACGTTCTAGCATGTTACTAATACACTGTATATTCACGGTTAGATCACAGATAACACAGCAGACATTCATAATTTCAGCATACCTCTGCATATGGAAAGCTAAATTTTGCAGCCTTTAAAGTCACCACCATGAAAGTCTTCTGCTCTGCTTCCTGAGCATTTCCCTTGGTAAGCCAGGAAGGCTGAATTCTCATTTGTATTGTGGCGTTATTAAGGATACATTGAGGCTTTACACAACCCTGGCACCCACTCTGAGGTCTCTTTACACTGCTAGAGCAGCATAATGCAGCCAGCACAAGCTTAAATGAAAATCAGGCCCCAGAGGTCTTTTCTCCCTGCAGTGCAGACTTACAGCTCCCATTACACATTTGCATTAAGGGCTGCAACCCTCCATAAAATACACTCACAAACTTAAAACACATTAGAGTCTAGCTAGACTTGGCACATAGAGGGGGCTTCTGCTGAGAATATTTGTCCTCAAGTATGACATAATAAAAATTTATAGGGATGAAGGACTTCAAGGGACCACCAATGTCACAGGGACTGAAATCTCAAGTGTGAAGGGAGGGGTGTTCTGCAGCAAAGGGGGCCACAGCAAAAGTCTTTTCCATGCCCTTTTGGAAAGAACATGATTTATTTATTAGCCTTAGTAAACAGGCAGGAAAGAGAGTGGGATTACCTGAATCAGGCTTTTCTGTATCTTCTGCAGGGTTTTGCTTCTCTTACTTTGCACCTGGTCTCATTGTTCATACAATGGTAAAGTGACTTGAGATATGACATCAAGTTATAACTGAAGGTTACACGGGAATATGTAGCAAACAGTGGAGGATCTGGTCCGTACTTGATAATATAACCAATAATAGGACAGAGGAAAGAATAACGGGCAACAAATGCATAAATCTGCTACTAACAGGACCTATCTTTAATGCATGCTTTAACTGAGTCTGCTTGGTTAGACCCTGGCACTGGTCATCAGCCTCTCCCTCTGCAGATCCAAGCGCAGACCTAGCACATGCAAGATGGCTGATGCAGGAAGACCTGACTGTCTGCCTGACCCTGGGCACAGGGTATCGCTGCAGAGCACTGCAGAATACAGGGTGATGGGTCCGCATGGCAGGTAGAGACACGCTTGGGTCTGTGCTGAAGACCACCATTAATTTATCTGCTGCCTTTCAGAGCTTCCTTGAAGTCAGTGGCTGGGCACAGGCTTGCAGCCAAGCAGTCTGGATGTGTGTTGAGTTGGAGTCAAGTGTGCCAGCCTGCCCCCAAAATACAGATTTAGAGCAAGCAAGGCCGTACTTTTGCTGCTGCCTTGCTCTTCTTCTCTTGCTCTATCTTCTTCAACTTTTACTCATTGTGTCACAAGTCACGATCTGTTGCTACTCTGGGCAAAGGGTGTTTTATAAAAAACAGTCATGGCTGTGGATGGTCCAAAAACATTTCTGTTTTGGGTGGGAGTCATGAGTCAGTTTGATGGGCAGTGGCACCCCAGTGAAATGAAGAATTTTGGCCTTGCTGCAGGCTGACAACATTCACTGTTTTACAAAAAAATCACTTCTCTGAATGTTTCCTGGTGGCACAGGGTAAGCAATAACAAACATAGCCACGGCAAGATCCAAAATGATGAATATAATGCAATGAAACCTTTACAAAGATTTAAAGCAGTTTTGCATGGCTGTGGTTTAATGTTGGAGCTGGGAGGACACTGCCAAACAGTGCCAAACAGAGACAAAAGCACACCTTTGTTGCTGTGTTAGGGACCAAGTGCTCGCATCCCCACGCTGCGGGCAGGTGAGCAGGGCAGTGGTGCACAGCTGAGAGCCAGGCTCTCACACACAGCTGCAGGCACTGGGGTGAGCTGACTCCATGCCTAAGGCTGACACCAGTGACGGCATCCGCCTGCTTACCTGGTATCTGTCCGAGTGATGGATGTCATCTGAGGAGTGGGGTGATGCTGTCGGAGAATCTCCTTCCCGCTTGATTGAGGCTGACAACAAAATTGACTGCAAGAGAAAGGAGAAATTCGTGTTGTGAGCATTGCCAAGCTCTCTGCCCCTCACTAAGCTGTCCTCAGAGCCATGGAGAGCATCTGCCAGGCTGTGGGGCTGCACTCGGATGGACTGGTGGGCTGTGGGGCTGGCTCTGCTCTTCTCATGGAACCCTGTCCCACAAGGGGACCCGGCTGCGGGGTCTAGCCAAGTGCAAATACATCAGGAAACAAAGGAATGGTCATTTTGTCACCAGGTCTGGTGGCTGGGGGCAGAATCTGTCCCTGCTGGAAATGATGCGTGAGGACCCCACCAGAAATTCACATGGTAAAGCGAAGGCGTGCTGACATGGAGCGATGCTTACTTGCCCTCATCCACCCCTCTAAGTGCCACTAAATCTCTCAATAGCTTTGTAAACCACACTAAAGCTCTCAGCACCTTTGCAGTGCAACTACCTCCTCCTTCTGTAATGATGCTATTTATTTTAATAAGTAGCACAGAAAAAAGGGGCATTTTAGAAGGTTAAAAAGATCAGTGATATTTGAGACCTAAGAAATCACTGATAAACTTCAAGTCAATAGTAGGTAAGTCTAAATTCTACACACAGTGAACTCTGGTGGGAAAATTACTGCAGGAGTTTGACAGCATTTGAAAAAAATGTACACAGAGTTGCCAGTGAACTTTATTATTAGAAGAATTTGAGGGAAAAATGCAATTTAAAATTCTAGCTTAAAATATAAATTAGCTAAACTAAGCTAAATATAGCCCAATACATTGTGAAAAACATACACTGGAAATGCGGCTCTCCAGATGTTTGTTTCTGAGAATCAGCTGGCAAGATTCAACAATAAATGACTGCTCAGAGATGTGTATGTTTGCGAAGGGAAGTGTAGATATCATCTGAATTGGACAGGTCAAGTGTGGTGACAACATTATTAAAAAGCATAATACCTTGGAGAAAGGCAAGTATTCCAGAAACATTTGCCTCTGGGCTGAAATGAAACGTGAAAAAAATGTGCATTTTTTGGAAAGATATGAGTAAGTGGAAAAATGACTCAGCATACAAATTGGTTCAGTCAGCAGGATGCAATCCCCTAGGCTCGGACAGCTCTCCTGGCAACAAAAGCCTGGCAAATATCAGCATGGTTGATGTGGACACAGAGGGAGGACAAGCTTGGGATAAAGGTGGAGGAGAAGGATTTGGGATGCTAGGTTCAGCCCCATGGGCATGAGCTGCCAGCCTTGCCACGAGGGCAAGAGCCACATCCCTGTCTGCACCGCAGGTCTCTGCCCTAAAGCATGGCTCTACCAGCTGTGCAGAGATGCTGGGGTGCTCAGTTATCTCCCCAGGCACAGCCCCTCCTCCCCATCAGGCTGAGCTGAGGGCTGTGCTGAACACATCTCAGAGCTGGCACACTCCTCAGCTCAGCCTGATGGGGGTCCCAGGTGCTGGGAGGGTCAGTGGAAGCCTTAGGGGCCAGGGGCACCCATCAAGGGCTGCCCCCAGAGATCAGTCTCCACGTCCCAGGGGAGAGATGGGCAGAGCAGGGTGGCTCTCTGGCCTTACGTGTTGGTTGAACCCAGCTGGTGGTGGGTTTTGGTGAGCAGCTCATTGATTTCTGGAGAAGCCCTCTCATAACCCTGTGAAGCCACCAGGAGAATTTCTGCAGAGTGCAGACCTGCTGTTGTTTGGTTTATTTTCTAAATGGAGAATGAGGACCATTTTTGAAGTAGCAGGATTTCATATGTCCTGTAAAACAGAGGGATGGGGCTCAAGGCCTTCAGGTGTGATCCAGAAAAACAGCCCTGATTGCAGCAGTGTTAATGCCCTTCCCCTCCTCTAATAAGTCAAGCACTCTGGAGCTGGGAGGGTTAAATCCGTTTTGTCTTCCAATGTATTCTGGAGAAGGGGAAAAAATACCCATCTCCCCATTCCTTGGCGACAGACAGACAAACCCTCCCCGCCTCCAGCTCCCCCCTCAGCTTCTGGTAGCTCTAATCCAATATTATTATGTGAAAAATGGTTGGGCTAGCTATGGAGACAGTAAATTAAACGTTATGTATTAGTTTTTAGCGTGTGGTCCCGGGAAGAATGCCGGCCCCATTTATTCCACAAACCTCCTGAGCACCATGGCGATGACCTCTGGAAAAACGAAGGGCTAAACTAATCCCAAAGATGTCAATCTCGAGGCCTCTTCTACATACACTTGCAGTTTAGATTAATAAACTGTCTATTTTTAAATTGTGTGCAAGCACTTCAATTCTAAATACCTCGCCGGCATGTTAAACACAGCGTTAGAGATGCCAAGTCACACTTCCCCTTCACTCTTAGGAAACTTGACTTCATTTGTTTTTCTCATTTCTGTGCGCTGTGCCACACTTTGCCTTTCAGGCAGCTGTGGGGGTAGGCAGGAATGCAGGCTCAGGGGCTAAGGGGTTAGGAAAGGCACTTACCGTTAGGGTGATTTTAATTTCTGCATTAGGCCAGCCTCTCTGCCATGAGATACAATGCTCATGTCAATCTGCCAATTTTGGCCTCTTTTTTTTTCCAAAATTGTTGTGTTGGAGCCATTTCCCAATGGCTAAGCAGCGAGGATACATGGCCTCAGCATCCCACGCCAAGGATTTGCTGCCTCCTGCACCCACACTGCTTGCTCCCACCCAGGTACTGACAAGCGAGGAAGGGGCAGCGATACGATTCCCATCTCTCTCGACTGGCATCTGGGAAGATGGCTGCAGAGGGAAAAGGCAGCTTTATGCACGCCCTCCCAGTCCTTGTGCATGCCCAAACTGCAGGGAAGACCTAAATTCTGGCATCCCACCCCAAAAACGTGGTGCTGGGTGATTTCTGTATGGCTGTGGGGAGATGCTTCCTATCTCAGGGACCTGCTGCTTTGGCATGGTGGAAACAAGCCTCGATGCTGAGATGTCCCTTTTCCCCTTGGGGAAAGGCCACCAGCCAGCTCATGCCTGCCTGGTTGCTAATTCAGCCCAGTTCCCCTTCAAGCTGTATCTGAGTGGGGCTATCAGGGCAAGAGCACCCTCATCCCTCCTCGGTCCCCCCTGCTCTGGCAAACCACAGTTCCCAGCTTCAAAGATGGAGCAAGGGTCTTGTGCAAGCGGCCGTGCAGCCTCATATTTCTCCCTCCCCTTTAAATCATCTCTCCATTGGGTAAAGGCACTCTCTGTGGAGGTTATAAACCCTGAGAGGATCAGCCTGAGCATTACACCTGGGGCAAGCTAAATAAAAAAAGGTCACCAGCGCTTTTTAAACATGGACAAAAAAGCAGTAAAATGTGTTTGGAAAAAAAAATCTGGCATTAAATCATGACTTTTTGCCTGGCTTGCCTCATTAAAAGTGGCCTTTTGGAAGGTAAAATTATCATTGTAAGTGATAAGATCTTTAAGAAAATAATTCACGGCTTCTTCACCCTTTAATATGATAGCCGCCACCGGCTAATTTTTTTCTTAATGGCAACGAGGCCATCAATCTTGTCCGAGCCCTGTACTCCCTCCTTTCTCCTGCCCCTCCTGCCGTGCTGGGCAGCCATGGCCCTGCTCGGTGCTTCCTTCCTACCCCTTGGAGTCCAACTGTGCCATGCCAAAGGGAAGAGACATATCTGGATGTATGGCTTTACCTGCCTGTGTCCATGGATCCGGGCTCTCCCTGGGGACGTGGCACTGCAGGAAGCAGAGGACACGCAAGCCTTGCTCACACTGCAAGGTTTGCATCCTGGTAGCTCCTGATCCCCTCCATGGACCGTGCCATCCTGCAGAGCTGGGCTGCAGCGTCTGCAAATGTTTCAGCAGTCTCGTTCCAATTAGCAACAACATAGAGTTTACGTATATAAATACACAAGCCGGTTCGGCATGGATCGAATGCGCATCATGCAGCCGGTGTGCCAGCTGCTGTCATCCCAGCCCGTTGCTCTCCAGACCTGCTCCTCCCCGCTCGGGCAGAGGAGCCGCAGGCAGCTCCGAGGCGATGCTGGCAAGGGCATGTGTGCCAACACGCCGCCGGCTCCCGACCCACGGGCGCTCGAGGCGCAGGCCCGGGGCAGCACGAGGGGAGGGGATGGGTGTCAGGGTGCAGCCGTCGGCCCGAGGAAATGGATGGAAATTGCCAGCATGCACCGCCCCCAGCCCTAAGCGCTGCCTTTCGCCGGCAGCCGGGGCAGGTGTCAGCGCTGGGAGAGCCCAGCCAGTGCCGCTGACATTCTGCTGCCTCTCAAGGCCAGTCATTTTAGAGTATTAAAGTGCTGGACTCCTGCTTTCTGATAGCCCTGGAAAAACACAGGGAGTCTATTTTTCTTAAACAATCCATCACAGCTGCTGTCAGCAGAACAAATACCCTAACCCCGCTTTTTATGTATCTATATGGCCTTTTTTTTTTTTTTTTTTTTGGCACAAAGTGTTCCCTGCTTGATGCATTCAGCTTTAACTCTGCCGTCTAAATAGGTACTTATCACTTAACATGGAGGTGATGGCTTGACATGTTTTCTGTCTCCTGCCCTCCCCTCCACGGTAGGGAAGCCGTCAAAGTGTTGCTAATAGCTATTATCACTTGGGAACTGTAACCCGAAAGCAATGAGTGATACCAGGCCTTGCTGCGATTTTCCCCCTTAACTCTTAACTCTGCTAGCCATTTTTTTATGTTATTGCTGGAGGATCCCTGACACAAAAATACTACTATTAGAACTGAGTTTCCTAGAAGCTTTTGGAGGGTCCACATTTGCTCCTGGGAAAGTTAGAGGTAAAATTATCTAGTGGCTTTTAGCTGGCAGAGATAAAGGTGGGATGGAGCTGGGGATGAAAGGCTTAAATGTGAGAAGTGTGTGAACAGTGAACAGAAAGAATAGTATCAGCAGCTTCTGGCCTTTGCTGAAAGATTCCAGTGGTCCGCAAGCAGAATAAGCTTACAGAAATGTGAGCTACTGATTTATTTCTGTGCATGTTACAGTCACACCTGGGATTGTAATCGAGCTCTGGGTCCTCCTGGGCAAGACACCAGCTACATGGTGGGGAAAGGGGCCCCTTCCAGCAGAACTGCCCATTGGCACACTGCAGATGGAGGGGGAAAGAGGTCTGGCCAAGGTCTGCCAGGGTCTGCCAGCCTGTCCGGCTCCCCTCTGCAACCACATCCCTCCCCGCTCCTCCTGCTCAACGCAGTGTTTTCCCCCAGACTAATGGGAGGGCACAGCTGTTTGGCCCAAGGGGAGCAAGGGGCTTTGTTTGTTCATGGGGTTATTTGTTTTATGGAATAAAACCTGGCAGAGATTTTTTTTGGAGTGGCTCTGGTATTCATCACTCCAAACTGGCAGGGAGTACAGCTAGCCAACACTCATCGTACATAATTTCCCCTCCTTCACATATCTGTGGGCTGTTCTTGTGTCCCCAGCTTGGCCACAGCTTTGCCATAATACTCAGATTTAGCTTTTTAATCTTTCCTTGTAAATCACAGTTACAGAGGGAGGAGGCACAGATACGGTGAGTGACTTCTCCAACCCCTGCAGTGAGTCAGTGACACAAGAGAAGGAGTTAAAACCCCAGGGCCCTGACACCCGTCCCCTGTTCCTACCACCAGACATGATACGGAGAAGTTAAATGATTGTGCTAGAAATTTCATCTCAAGCGAGGCAGCTGGGAAGGGCTTAATACAGACATTCTGTCAAGGTTTAAGGCTCCAAATCTTGCTTGCTTCAAAGCTCTTTTTCCTTGGAGGGCTTTAGTGGTCAAATTTCCCTCTAGACGCTGTAATTCTCTCTCAAACTGCTTGGTGAAGCTGTAAAATCACGGGGGTGGGTGGGGGAATCAAAGGGCTCTGGCACTGTGGCTTGGTTCCCAGCTCTGCCGGAGGTCTCGGAGCAGCGCGCTGGCTGCCTGCCTGTGGGCACCCTCCGAGGAGCTGGGTGCACACCTAAACAAACTGGCTGCAAGCATCTGCTGGGTGCGCAAGATGGATTTTGTTCCTGGCCGCTCACACCAGTGTCTGTTTGCAGCAAGATCCAGCGCACGGTCTGGAGTGTTACCGGGAAGGGCAATTTGCAGTCATGTATTAGGAAGCAGCAGCAGAAAATGAATGTTGAACCCACTGTGAGAGCTGGGATGCTTTATGTAGCCCAGCCTCTTCCCCTTCAGTGGTTAGTACCAGCACTTTCACACGGGATATAAGTTCACCTGTTAGGTGACAGCTAACAGGCTGCAGCTAATGCTCTGAAATTTAGGGGTTTAGATCTCTCTGAGCAGAGATAATATCCCACCGAGATGATAGCCCATGGAGGGAGAGCTGCAAGGATCTGGGGATGCTGATTCCCAGAGTTACCACTGCCTACTCAAGGAAGAGTGGGAACAGTTGGACTTATGCTGCTCATACACCTCACTGGCATGTGTTCAGTCCAACATGTGCTCGTCTCCTTCACAACCCCTTGCAAGAGGCAGCCAAGGCAAGAGGAAAAAGGCAAGGGGAGAGTGTGAAGCCCAGGAATAATGCCCAGGGGAACTGCATGCTGCTGATGGCTACATCTGTACTCCTGGGCAGCCATGAGCCTGTCCGGAGCCTGCGGTGTTGTCTGTTGCCTCTGCAAGACATCCAAGCTGCCTGGTCTGCCTGAGACACAGCCACTGGCCGTGCTGGGGAGTACTGCAGAGAAGCTCTGGACTCACAGAGGTCTGGGGCATGGCTGGTTTGGACATACCTTCAAAAAGTGTCCTCCTGAGTGACTCTGGTGTTGGGCTTCCCCATGGTGACCCAGGATGATGGTGAAAGGTTAATGATCACAACAGTGGTGAATGGGACCATGGAGCTGCAATCTCTAGCTCAGCAAGAGCAAGGACATCCTCCATCCCTTCCCATGGGCGTGAAGCAACTGTTCTAACCAACACTGAAACTTCTCCTTGGTAAAGAATTCCTTTTTCCACCTCTCCTCTTCCTCCTGGTGTCTCACCAAGCCCCGCTTGCTGTCACTAGCTTTCCTAAGTAAGTGGCAGTCAGCGTTAGATAGAAATCTCATCCTGAGGCTCACTATGCAGGTTTAGCAGCTGCTTGTCCAAGTGGCTCATCCACACTGGCATGGCATGATTGATTGGGCTTGGTTTCTCACACAAAGCAAAGGAGGATGCTGAATGCTGTGGAGCTATGTGGTGCTGAGTGCTGCCCTCCTCCTCAGCGCTGCCTTTGCAGAGAGGGAGTCCAGGCACAGAGCAGACATGTTGGTCAGAGACCCCAGCTCGCAGCCCTTGCCTGCCTCCGTCAGCTCCAATAATGGAAGAATCTGATACAATAATCCTGCATTCATCACATCTCATGCTGAGTGATTGGATTTTCTTTGACATATTGCCATGAAAATTGGCCCAGTGCAGTGAGTGACAGCTCTTCAGGGGCAGGAAAGCGGCGAGTGAGGAACATACGTTTACATCTGGGCTTTTATTGCCAGGAGGGACGTTTGCTGGGGCAACTGTGGAGAAGGGACGGGAGCAGAGCCAGGAGACAGAGCACAGGAGGTTAAATCCCCTGCCCCAACTGCACCCTGGGAAGAGCTTCAGGCCAGCACAGAAGCAGCGATGGTAGTGATACTCTATGAAAAGGTCCTAAATGAGTCCTAAAGCCACTGGTGACTGCAAAAGTAACATGGCTAGCCTGCACCCCACCCCAGTTCCCCATGTCCCTGGGTGGAACCAGCTTGCCCCTGCCCATGCTGCCAGGGGATGCTCCTGAGGGATGGGAAGGCGCAGCTGCTTTCTCCTGATGCTAAGCTGCTGGAGCTGCTGGCCCTTTTGCTGGGCCCAGGAGAAGGACTGCCCAGGAAATATTGCAGTAGTCCCCATGGTCCTTGCAACCCCTTCAACCAATGCCCATGGTGGGAAGTGGAACACGGCACAGGTCCCAGCTCTTCTCAGGTGGTGCCTGCCAGTCCTCCAGTGATGCCTGGGTGCCTGGGCATGGGCTGCAAGCCCACCCTGGGGGTCTGTCCTCCATCCCTCTGCTTGGGACCCCTGTTAAGGGTGGCCCAGAGGCCCAGCTTTGTCCCCAGCAGGACTTTCTCAGAGGGACTTCACACCCTGATGGGCTATTCCCATCCTGTGTTGCAAACACTCAGTGGGCACAAAGGGAAAGAGCAGCCTTCGCCTCCCCACCACCTTCCTCCTCAACCTGCCTGGTTACAAAGGGGCCTTTAATACCAAGCTCAGGTGAAGGTGACAGTGCTGTGCCTTCCCATGCCACACAGGACTTGTCTCCCAGCAAAAGCCACCTAGAAATAATGAATCCTCCCGGGCTGAGAGTCTTTCAAGCTTTCTGAGAAGGGAATGAAAGATTTCCTGATTTCACCCTCTCCCTCCCTGCTCTCCTGGCTTCTTGAAGTTAATGTTCTTAGCCCCAGACGTGACGGGCAAAGGGAAAAGATCCATGTGGTGACAGGGGACGATTGATCTCTTTTACATAGAATGACGCTCCAGTCCCAGTTTAATCCCCTCGCTCAAGGCAAATGGGATTCTTTGTCAATGGAAACTTCAAAAGCCCAGCCCTGCCGCGAGATGGACCTTCTTCTTTATCTGGTCTCTGTCAGTCACTCTCTACGTTTCCCTCCAAACAGCTAATCTGTCTTCCTAGCCGTCCTTCCCCCTCGCAGGCGATGTGTTTGGGACTGTTGAGTTATCTACACTCAGACCTGATGAGGAGGGAAAGAGAAACTTACAGAGTCCAGCTGCTTTCATTTTGTGGGTGCCTTTTCCAACTCCTTCGAGACATCCCAAGGCAGTCTCATGCTCCATGGATTATCAATGGTGGGTGGGTTTGGGGATTGCTTTCTGTTCTGCTTATCTTTTACGGGAGAAATAGCCAGGTCTCTGCTCTCCTCCCAATCTCCCCTGAGACAGGGCATGGGAGACAGGGATAGACATGCAGGAGACTGGAATGCCAAAGGTGTGGAGCACTATGGGGTGTCACTGCAATCTTTATTTTCCCTTGGAGGGTTTGGGAAATTGTTGGGTTGACTTGGGAGATGTCCCTCCTGGGAACTTGGGTCAGCACAGTGGCTCCCTGGCCCCTCTCTTGGTGGGGAAGACAAGGTGTTGATGTGCTTGGCAAGACACCCATCCTCAAGGGGAAAGCTTAAGAGATGAAATTTCAGTCTCCGTTTCTGACATTACATGCCAAAAATGACCCAAAGCTTCCAGAAGAAAAAGGGAGAGCAAGTGAAGTCGATTCTATTAAAACAAGCATGAAGACACCTCCCATGAGAGATGCCCTGCTCTTCCTCGGGAGCCAGGAACCTCTCTGGCTTGGACTGTGTCACCAGAAGCATAGGAGAGCCTGGACCACTTGCCTTTGCCTGCCTCGGGAGCACAGTGGGGTTTTCAGAGGCTATGCAATGCCCAGCTTCTCTGCAGTGCTTCCTGCCACCCCCTTGCTGCCCAGGCTCTGGTCCTTCCCACCACCGTTATCATATGAAGTCCAGCTAACAGTAATACTAATTAGTAATGATGCCCTTTACAGTGATGCCATGATGTTCTGTGCATTTAGTATTTTTGCATTCTGAGCCAAGGGCTGGGAGGTGGGTCCTGGGGAGGGGTATGAAGTTGAGATGGGGTCTTTTAGTGATTTGGGCTCCTCCTCGGGTGTGCTTCACTTCCCTGAGGCAGTCCCACTCCCCTTTTCCAAAGCTGGCATATGGCTCTGGCTCCAGGAGCTCCCGTACATGATTTCCCAGACTGAGCTCAGCCTGCATGTGATCAGCTCTCATTAGCTGTCATTAGACACAATCTGGAGTCCTGAAGCCTGCTGGGTCCTTCAGCTCCACAGTCCCTCAGCTGCGTGGGGAACGAAAGAGCCCTGTGAGGGGACTTGGCTGCTCCAGCCCAGTGGGTGAATGGGGGCAGCAGCTTCCCTCAGTGCTGGCTTGCCCCCAAAGCATGGCCCTCTTCCTGGGACACACCGAGTAGCAGGCTGGGAAGGTGAAGGGATGTAAAGAGCATTCCTCAGGAGAGGGGGAAAGTGTGCTGAGTTGTGCTCACTTACCTTCGGGGTGCCCGCTGCCATGGCATCCTTCAGGATGGAGCTCTTGCTGCCAAGAGAGAAGAGAATGGGGTCAGAGTCACAAAACTGCTCTGGTGGACAAGGGGGGAAGCACTTTGAGAGATCTCACAATGTCAAATAGCAAAGCACGTCTCCCCTTCCCGGACCAAGGAAACTCTCCTCACCCTGACTGGAGGGGCATGGAAAGGAGGGCAGTGCCGCCTGTTTCTCCAACTGGAATAAAATGGCCCTATGAGTGGAACCCCCCAAACCCAGAGACACGATGCAGAGTCAAATCCCCTCTCCCCCTCCTCAGGGGCTTGCACAGGTCCTCTCCCAGACCTGGGGAAAAGTGGGGAGCAGGCCTGTAGGAGCACAGGGAAGAAAGCCAAGGAGAGGGGAGCTGAGGTGGTGAGCCCTGTGTAGGGTCAGGCACAATAAAAAAAAGGAAGAAGGAGGAGGTTAAATCGGCATAAGAGCAAGGGAAAGAAGATCCCCTCAGCTCCAGCCGCGCTGTGGAGGCAGCAGCTCTGCCGGAGGCTGGAGTGATTTGTTAATTCAGCTTGTTCCCCATTTAGCAGGGAAGGAGGTCCCCACCACGGTGCTCCTCCTCGCCTGCCCTCACCAGCGGGAGATGCTATAGATTTAATAACACCTTCCCCCCTCCAGACAGGTTAAACTTGAAACAATTACATATCAAAGCCGACATGGTGGGGAGGCCTGCACTGTAATTTTTTGGTTATTAAAGTAATCTCTCTCATGTAAATTCTCCTGCTAACATGCTGCAAACAGCATTAGGAAATAAATTATTTCCCCATGATTCGATTTGTCAATGCAAAGCACCTGCAGCAGGCAAAAGGCTCTTGAAATATGTTGCCAAGCCCAGTGCCTGTGCTTGTAAGTGCACGCCGATGGGGTGGCTGGCTCCCAGCTCCCCATAGCCCCGGGGAGATGATGGATGGGTGCGTGGAGGGGGGAGGTTAGCGGGGGGAGGCGGAGGTTGAGGAAGGGGGGGGGAATGGAATTGTGTTTAATAACAAAATTTGTATGCAAGCCTGCATCCCAGGCTAAGGATGAGTGATCGGCAGCCAGAAAGTATTAAAAAGCCTCGCTAAACAGATGCTGACAATAGAACAAGACATATCAAATCAGATCTACTTCAGAAACATTAATATACACACGCACACATGCTCGCCCGCGCGCGCGCGCCCGGCTCCGCACACCCACGCTCCTTTCTTCTCAATCACAGCAATATGGGAGACATCAATAAATTTTTATGAGACTTTTAGAAGATCAACATGGTACTAGATGTGACAAAAAAGCAATGTGCCTGTCATGTTCGCTTTGTCGGGGACACTTTAGCCCCAGATGCCGAGCTGCAGTGGCAGCGGGGAGAAATTGAATTTGGCTGGCTTTAATCTGCCTTGATTTGGCAGATGGCTGGGTGTTACGAAATGAGCAGGGATGGAGGAAGGTGTTTTCTCCTGAGGCTATGGCCCTGCTCCTCTCCCAGTGCCACCACCATCGCCCCCCACCCCAAAATGGAGGGAAACATGCGGTTATCCATCACCATCAGGCCACCCCAAATGCTGCAGCTCTGCTCCTGGAGGGAGCAGCTGCGGTTCCCGGGGACCACCGATGGAGGGCTGAGGCATCGCCTCCCTCACAGCTCCCCTTTCCTGAGGGGATGCACTGCCAGATGCTTGCTGGGGGTGCAGGATGCCCCCCATGCCCTGTTCCTCAGCTCTGCCCCCTCTGCTCTCAGGAGGTGACACAGGGCAGAGTTACTCACCACTGTCCCCTGAGATGCAGCCCTGGGACCACCTCCAGCCTGCGCCCAAACGCATGTGATGGGAAAGATTTCCACCTCCTCTCCATCTCCAACCCCACTTTGAATTTTTCAGTTGCCCTAAGTGTGAAACAACTTTTTTTTTTCCTTTTATAATCCAAACACCAGGTTAAAAAACCCAACTCATTTCCTTTCTTTTCTTGTTAAAGGTGTTTAAAATTATTCCTTTTTGAGGGAAAGAAGAAGAATCTAATTAATTCCTCCCAGAAATAGTGTTAGCGCCAGGAAACTGCAGTTTTCAGAACAAGAGTCTGTCTGGTCAGCTGAAAGGCCAAGCCTCTGCTGTTGGGACTGACGAGGAGGGGACTGATTTAGATAACTTGGCAGAGTTTATTTTACTCTTGATTTGGAGGATTATTAAGAACCAGCCCCTCCTTGCAGTTTAGCCCCACTCTATTGCTAATAAAAATTTGCAAATTGTTTTTATTTATTTCCAGAGATGGGTCAGGAATGGGCTCAAGCCCTGGTTGTCCAAGTCCCAGGACCCTGCAATTTAAGACTGCTTTCCTCCATCTCACTAAACAACCCCGCAGATTACAGTGGCTGCAGTCCCCCGCGCCTCTTAAGGATGCTGGCAGTGGGCTGAGAATCGAAAGGCCATCAGCAAAGAGAAACCTTCCCCTCCATAAACACCGCAGACAAATTAAAAATGGTAAAAGGGAAATCAAGACCTTTAAAGTTCAAACACTTTTCGGTGCCTTTTAAAGTTTTTTCGCTCTAGGCCCTTGCAGAGAGCACAATCTTTGGAGACCTTGGGATTCTCTTTAATCACCCAGCCAGGCTGCAGTGGTCTGAAATGATTACACATTTACATAGTAATAACCCCAACACTCCCCACATTATTTCATGGCTAGCATATTTCCACTCGGCGAGTGATCCATGTGTTTTAAATTATAACCTGTACATAGGAAATTAGTTACTAAGTACGATATTCACGGGCTCGTCTGACACTTCTAATTAAGGTGATTTACACAGAATTATCCTACGAAATAAAAAAATGGTGTTTTGCTAGCTAATAAAATATAATTACTACCCGCTTTTATAAGTTACAGTTAGTTTTAATCTATTTGGGGAATTGTTTATCTAGTTCATTACAGCAAAACAACTTCTTTCCCTTTTAGGCAACCCCCCCAAAGTACCAAAGAAGACAAGAAATGCCCTAGAAAGACCCAGTGATTTGGGCAGCCTCCTTCTCTCTCTCCTGACAGCTTTGCATTTCCAAGTGATACGAGGCTGCTTCCCTGCAGGTTCTCTTGGGGCTGAGTTCTGCCCCTGCATTCATGCGTCCCCAGGTGTTTGGGTGCCCTACACCTCTGTGGGGACAAAATAAGGTCCCTCCTCTGGTGCTGCTGGAGGGCTCTGCCCAGCTCTGCAGCTGCGTCGCCCATTAACACGTACTCTCAGCAAGGCCCTCCATGATGAAAGCAAGACTCAGACTACACCACAGGCAGATGCTAGGCAGGGATTTGTTTAGGACCATCTCCAAATGCAACCGGGAATCCCTTGGCATCTCCCTGAGCAAGCCCCAAGGGGCCATTCAGACCTGGTGCTTCAGTCATGATGTCCCAAAGGGCAGCTTAGCACGCCAAATATGTGCCCTCCTTATCCACAGTCCCGGGGTTTCTTTACCCCTGCCATGGTTCCTATTAGACACAATGACCTTCAAGTTGTGGGGTTTTTTGTTATGGTCCTGCCTTTTGGGCTCTGCTTGCCATAGGAAGAAAAAAACCCAATATGCAAGGAGTGGTCCCTTATCATCCCCATGAATGGAATCTGCTGCTTCCCATACAGAAAACCCAGGGCATGAGCTGAAGGTTAAGTGATCTGATTGTGTTTTACCATGAGCAAGGTAGTACTTGTCCTTTTTCTATAAGCCTTTGCTCTTGCAAGCTGTTGTAGGAATTTCAGCTTTCCTCTAAAGAAGTGAGAAGTTTTCTGGGTACCCAAGTCAGGAGACAAGTCCCCCATGGGAAATGGCTCATCAGCTCCTAGGCAGAGGATCACAGCCCAGGGTGTGCTCTTGGTGCCCAGAGCCCATCATGCGCAGGCAGGGCTCTCACTGACCCCCCAGCCCAGGCAGAAGCCTGGCGCCAGGTGGCTGCCCTAGGGAAGCAGGGGCAGGAGCCTTCCTCCTCTGCGCTCACCTCAGCACACACACTGACTGTGCCAGTGCTGTGGCATCACTGCAGTATCGTGGAGCATCACGGAGCAAGGGTTGGAAAGCTCTATTGCAATTGTAGCTACGGCTTGAGTGAGGAGACAGAGAGAGATGTGCTCAGAGGTGAAATCTAAGCACAGAGCAGTGATGGGACTTGCCTGAAGTCTCTGTGCTTCAGCCCATCAGAGCCATTTGGGCTTCCCCAAGAAACAAGGTTTCTGCAGGGGCCCCACCCAAGGCAAGGCAGAGCTTATGATGAGTATCCATCAAGAAGGGCTGAGCTCAGTACCTGGCATGGCAGCCACACCCTGGCAGCACTCCCCACACATAACTAATAACAAGTGCAAAAGAAGTTCCTTGAGCTCAGGCAGCTGCAGTTGTTTGTTCTCATCCTTAAGGACGTTGCAGCCAGAAGAGGTTTAAAGAGGTGGTAAGAGGGCTGCTACCATGCAGCTGGTGTCTTCTAGCTCTGCAACCTTTCCACAGAACAACTCTCAGCAGCTCTTTGGATTTGATGGGCACAAGCCACAGCACATGCAGCTCCTAGATGAGATCCTGCAAAGCTGAAAGATTTCTACAAACTGCAGCTAACTGATGTATTTCTTAAAAAAAAAAAAAAAAATCCAGTGGAAACAATTTATTTTTAGCTGGAACACGCAGCCCTGGGATGGGAGCCCCGGCAGAGCCGTGAGGACAGCAACGCCAGCTGTAAATAAGCAGTTGCTGGGTAGAGAGAGAATTGGATTTTTGTGAATGCCAGTCTAAATAAGTGGAAGTGTCACTTGAAGCCTAAATAAGGAAATGGGAGTTTGATTATTAGTTTTTGTTTTTTTTTTTAAACTACATGAGGCCAAATCCTCACCTAGCTGCAGGAGACAGCCCTCTCTCTGCACAGCCAGGTGTGATCTGTGCCATCAGGGGAAACACACTGGGATTTTTAACCTACCGTGGCTCAGCTAGTGGCACCTGCTCCAAGCACTGCTTAGAAGATCTCCTGCATCCCATAGTGGGGAAAGGGGCCAAGTGATTGTAAAAATTGCCA